GATGTGGAGAAAGGGGAACCCTCCTCCATTGCTGGTGGGAATGTAAACTAACACAACCACTTTGCAAATCAATCTGGCGCTTTTTCAGACAATTAAGAATAGTGCTTCCTCAAGATCCAGCTATACCACTCCTAGGCATAGATCCAAAAGACGCTCAAGTATACAACAAGGACATCTGCTCACCCATATTTGTAGCAGCTTTATTTGTAATAGCCAGAACCTGGAAACAACCCAGATGACCCTCAACTGAGGAACAGATACGGAAATTGTGGGACATCTACACAATGGAATATTACTCAGCAATAAAAAACAAGGAAATCATGAAATTTGCAGGTAAATGATGGGAACTGGAAAAGATCATTCTGAGTGAGTTATCCCAGGAGAAAGACACACAGGGTATATACTCACTCATAAGTGGATATTAGACATATAATAAAGGATAAACATACTAAAATCTGTATACCTAAGGAAGCTAATCAAGAAGGAGGATTCTGGCTAAGATGTTCAAGCCCTATTCAGAAAGGCAAAGAGGATGGACATTGGAGGAGGGAGAAAACAGGGAACAGGACAGGAGCCTACCACAGAGGGCCTCTGAAAGTCTCTGTCCTGCAGGGTATCAAGGCACATGTTGAGACTCATAGTCAAACTTTGGGCAGAGTGCAGGGAATCTTACAAAAGAAGTGGGAGAGAGTAAGACCTGGAGAGGACAGGAGCTCCACAAGGACAGGGACAGATCCTAAAAGTCTGGGCACAGGGGTCTTTTCTAAAACTGATACTCCAGCCAAGGACCACTCATGGAGATGGCCTGGAACCCCTGCACAGAGGTAGCCCATGGCAGTTCAGTGTCCAAGTGGGCTCCATAGTAATGGGAACAGGGACTGCTTCTGACATGAACTGATTGGCCTGCTCTTTGATCACCTCCCCCTGAGTGGGGAGCAGCCTTACCAGGCCACAGAAGAAGACAATGCAGCCACTCCCGATGAGACCTGATAGCCTAGGGTCAGAGCAAAGGGGAAGAGGACCTCCCTTTTCAGTGGACTGGGAGAGGGACATGGGTGGGAGACAGGGAGGATGGGATTGGGAGGGGAGGAAGGAGGGAGGTACAAGGGGGATACAAAGTGAATAAACTGTAATTAATAAAAATAAAAATAATTTTAAAAAAGACCTGGAGGGGACAGGAGCTCCACAGGAGAGCAATAAACAGATCCTAAAAGTCTGGGCACAGAGGTCTTTTCTGAGACTGATACTCCAAACCAAGGACCACTCATGGAGATGGCCTGGAACCCCTGCACAGAGGTAGCCTATGGCAGTTCAGTGTTTAAGTGGTTTCCATACTAATGGGGACAGGGACTGACAGGAACTGATTGGCCTGCTCTTGATCACCTCCACCTGAGTGGGGAGCAGCCTTACCAGGCCACAGAGGAAGACAATGCAGCCACTCAGAGGAAGGGGAGGAGGACCTCCCTTATCAGTGGACATGGGTGAGGAAAAGGGAGAGAGGGTGGGTTTGGGAGAGGAGGAGGGAGGGAGCTACAGGGAAGATACAAAGTGAATAAACTATAATTAATAAAAATAAAAATAATAAAGAGGAAAAAATTATATTAAAAAATATCTCGAACATGTATATAGCATGTTGCAGAAATACAACTTTGAGTTTATATAAAAATCCATACCCATTTAAAATGAGACTTGTTTTTTTGTCTAAAAGGATGTAAACAGTTATTCATAATTAAAGAGCTTTAAGCCATCCCAAGGTTTACAGTTTAATTAAGATTTTTTTGTGTTTACAGTTTAATCAAGATTTTTTTGTTTTGTTTTTTTGTTTTATTTCTCAGGTGTTTGTTATAATAACAGAGATCTGACTGTCATGACTGGTAGGTTATGGTGATGAGAGAGCGTCACAGGTCATGTTGGAGTTTCTGTGTGTATATGCCGGTTGTGGTGATGCTTCTGATTAACTTCAAGGAGAGCTACTAAACTAGTATCACTACTTTTCCTAGCTGATTGTTTTTTAATTTTTTATTACAACTTATTCACTTTGTATTCCATCCCCTCCCAATCATGCCCTCTCTCCCTCTTCTCCTCCCATGCCCCTTCCCCAGTTGACTGATAGGAAAGGTCCTCCTCCCCTTCCCTCTAACCTGGGCCTATCAGGTCTCATGAGGAGTGTCTGCATTGTCTTCCTCTGTTGCCTGGTAATGCTGTTCCCCCTCTGAGGCGGGGGGAGGAGGAGGTGATCAAAGAGCCAGCCACTGAGTTCATGTCAGAGACAGTCCCTGTTCCCATTACTATGGAACCTATTTGGACTCTGAGCTGCCATGGGCAACATCTGTGCAGGAGTTCTAGCTTATCTCCATGAATGGTCCTTGGTTGGAGTACCAGTCTCAGAAAAGACCCCTGTGCCCAGATTTTTTTATTCTGTTGCCCTCCTTGTGGAGCTCCTGAACTCTCCAGGTCTATCTCCTCCTTTTTTTCCTAAGTTTCCCTGCACTCTGCCCAGAGTTTGGCTATGAGTCTAAGCATCTGCTTTGATACCTTTCTGGAAAGAGTCTTTCAATGCCCTCTGTGGCAGGCTTCTGTCCTGTTCCCTGTTTTCTCCCTCTTCTGATGTCCATCCCATTCTCCTTTCTGAGTGAGGGTTGAACATCTTAGCCAGGGCCTGTCTTCTTGCTTAGCTGAAACAATCCTCTCCAATCAAAGACCTTCTGGAGGTGTCTCCAGCCCTGATCTCAAGCTGTACTATAGAGAAACAGTAATAAAAACTCCATGGTACTGGCATAGAAACAGACTGGTAGATCAATGGGATCAAATGGAAAGATCCAGAGATAACTCACACAACTTATGGACTCCTGATTTTTTGACAGATTCTAAAACCACACAATAGGAAAAAGACAGCATCTTCAACAAATGGTGCTGGTGTAACTGGATGTCTACATGTAGAAAAATGAAAATAGAGCCATACTTATCACGCTGCACAAAACTAAAGTCCAAGTGGATCAAAGACCTCAACATAAAACCAGACACACTAAAGCTGTTAGGTTATTTTTAAGTAGAAAAAGAAGTGAGGGAATGGCGGCTTGGTGTTAAGCCCTGCAGACCTGCTGCAGAAGTGGGGAGGGAAAGATGGAGGGCACGCTTTTGGTCAGTGCGCCCAGTCCTGATGAGACCTGGTGGGCTAGCGTTGGATACAAGAGGAGGCGGACTTCCCCTCTCAGTGGGCTAGGGGAGGGGCACAAGGGGAGAAGTGGGAGGAGGGTGGAATTCAGAGGAGACGAGGACCCACTGCCAGGATACAAAGTGAGTAAATTCTAATAAATAATAATAATTAATAAAAAAATAATGCGGGAAGGGCGGGCAGCCATGAGCCAGGGCTCCACATGAAAAAAAAAGAGTATGGATTTAATACACACACCTTAAGGGTGCCTGAGGCGAAGGCAGGATGGTGGTCGGGAGTACCCCAACATCTGAGCCGACTGCCTTGTCCCCAGTGTGCGGAACACATGGCAGCAGAGGTGGTGGGCTGCTCTGAGCAGCTGTGTGCCCCGCCCCACCCCGTCTGAGCAGCGTGGGAAGCAGAGGGGGTAGCGGGCACCTGGAGACAGATGTGCAGCCTCAGCAGACAGGGGCAGGTCGTGAAAGGCCGGAGCAGAAGAAAGATTTGTTGTATCCAAGCGATTGGGGTCCCAGAGTGAAAATTATGGGATTGCCCATTGGTTTTCGGCACCAAATGTTAATATTTATAGCATTTATATGAAAATGCCATGCACACAACTGATCTTATATGAAAGAGGTTTATTGGATGGAGGGGGGAAGCATGGTTGTGGGAGCGGGCGCCCTGGCAGAGAGAAGGGAGAGAACAGGAGAGGGGGAGACAGCAAGGGCCAGAGTAAGAGAGTAAGAGCTGTTTTATTTTCTTAATATGAAATCACAGTTTAAAAAATTGCCTACTCTCAGAGAGGCAGACTTTTCAACAATGCTAGAAGCTAAAACTGAGGACTTCTCCGCGAGATCTCTAATTGTTAAGTGCGCAGGTCTTGGGCTACATGTGCAGTGGTGAGAAGGGGGGTCAGGCTGACTAGAACTGCATTTACAGGCACTTGTTGGCTACTGTGCGGGTGCTGGGAGCTGGGCCCAGGCCCTCTGCAAGAGCAGCCAGTGCTCTCAACTGCGGAGCCATTCATTCAGCCACTACTGTGGGGATGTTTAATGTTAGACTAAATGCATTTTGCATCATAAGATAGCCATGAGCCTATGGAGACCAGGGGCAGAAACTGTTAGTTTGAATGGGCTTATGTTCTTTTCCTCTACCCTTGGTATTGTTTAAGGAAGTTATGGACCCTTTAGAAGGTAGAGTCTTGCTACAGAAAGTACACTAGCTTGGAGGAGATACAGCCACATTTCATTTCCTGTTGTCTTTGTTTCCTGCATGTGCTCAGCCAGGATCCTGCTCCACATCCCTCAAGAAACAGAGGACAAAATGAGCCCTTTCTTCTCTAAGTTCCTTTAGTCATGGTTTCTATCACAGTGACAGGAAAGTAACTAATACACAACATTATAACTTATGGAATAAAGGCAAATATATGACAATAAATACGTACTTTAAAAGAGAAAAACTCAATAATTTGAAATCTGTAAAATTGGGAAAGAAAATAAAACCAAAGCTGACAGAAGTGTCAGCTTTGTTCTGCTTTCTATAACAAAGTGCCTTAGACTGAGTAACCTACAAAGAGCAGAAAGAAAAAGTCTAGAATAGGAAAATTCAGAGATAGAAAGTAAACTAAAGTTTGTCTGGGTTTCTGAGAAAGGGGTTAGAAGGTTACTGCATAATGAACAGAGAGTATTTGTTAATAGTGATGGAAAAGGGAAGCAGGTAGTTGGGATGGATAAAGAGTATGGCTATAATTAATATCACTAAATTGTTCACTTAAAATAAGATATTGTATGTGTTTTATCACAATGTATCTATTAAAAAGTAAGAAGTAAAAACTTAAGAGTTTTACCTGTAGCATGATACAACTGCAAAAAGTATGATTAAAACATATGCCAAATGGAACAGAGGAATGACAGTCTTGGAGGTTGCTTCAAATTCCAACTGTCTGGAGAGGGATGTAAAGTAGACCACCTACAACAACAACAACAAAACCATGCTCAGGAGATAGATTCATACCCCAGAGTCTGCTGGACGTGTCAGCTTCTTCACAATCTGCAGTGTGCCTTCCAATGTTTCCTTCAAAATGCAAAGTTTCCAGAATTAGGGAACCCACTGTATACTGAGCTACCATGGGCTACATCCTGGCAGGAGTTCTAGGTTATATCCATGCCTGGTCCTTGGTTGGAGTATCAGTCTCAGAAAAGACCCCTGTGTCCAGATATATGTGGTCCTTGTGGAGCTCCTGTCCTCTCCAGGTCATACTAACTTCCCCTTCTTTCATATGATTCCCTGCACTCTGCCCAAGGTTTGCTTATGAGTCTCAGCCTCTGCTTTGATACACTGTTAGGCAGAGTCTTTCAGGGGCCCTCTGCGGTAGGCTCCTGTCCTGTGGACTGTGGGTTCCCTAATTACGGGAACAAGTATTGTCTCTGACATGAACTCAATGGCTGGCTCTTTGACCTCCCCCACCCCACCCCCGCCCTGAGGGAGGAGCAGCCTTGCTAGGCTACAGAGGAGGACATTACAACCAGTCCAAAAGAGACCTGATAAACTAGAATCAGATGGAAGGGGAGGAGGACCTCCCTTATCGGTGGACTTACAGAGGGGCAGGGAGGAGAGGAGGGAGAGAGGGAGGGAGGGGAGGGTGGGGTTGGGAGGGAATGAGAGAGGGGATACAGCTGGGATATAAAGTGAATAAACTGTAATTAATATAAAAAAATAAAATTTAATTTAAAAAATAATGAAAGAAATTTTTAAAAATGCAAAGTTTAATCATCTCTCCGCCCTTTGGCTAAGATCAGGTGAAAAACCCTAACTATAAATCCAAACAAACCAAAACTGAGTTTTATGCACAACTGTGAAACCTTATCCTCGTTAACAACTGTGGAAATTAAATCTTACCAGATTGCGATGTTTTCATGTTTTAACTGCTTCAGTAGCATTCACTTTCCCTAGGGTTATACACTGGAATTGATGGTTCAGAGTTTATCGGGTAACACGCACCTCAACACTCAGCTAGGCGCCTTGTCTACAACTACCATGACAGAACTTGAAAGTTGTCTTTTTTCTTTTTAAGTTTTGTCTTTTAATTCTACTGGGAACAAAAAGGCTTTAGGGACAGGGACTCCTAGGAATAAGACGCGGCTCACTAAAGGAAACAATTTTTAAGTGACTTAATGATAACCAAACTCCACACCAAGTCGCCAGGTGTGAAAACCAGTTTCTGTACTAAAACAGACTTCCTGAGACAGGATTTGTGTGTAGACAGTGAGGCCAATGCTCACGGCTTCGTCCGCGCGACAAGAGGTTTGCGCCACTCGGTCTCCTCATCCCCCGCCCTTACAGGCCTCCCTTGCAAACCCTAATCTCCGGAATACCTCTATTTCTTCCAGAGCCAAGCGGCTCTTCACGTCGTTGAAGTGGTCAAGAAAGTGGGTCAGCCACGCCTTGCTGCGCTCGCTGTCCGTGGGGTCCTCGGTCTTGAGGTAGTACAGCAGCCTCATTGCTCGGGACGCCACGAGTCGCCTGCTCCTTCCCTCCGGCTGGCCCAGGACGTTTCCGCCAAAGAAGCCCGCCAGGTAGATGAGCTGGTCGGACAAGTTGTACATGGGGAAGGTGATGCCCCGCAGGTCCAGCGACGTGTCGAGCTGCCAGCTGTACAGCAGGGGGTTGGGCGGCACGCACAGCACCCTGTACCGGGCGCACACGTCCTGGTACAGGATCTGCGTTCCGTTCCCCTGGTCCACCGTCAGCGCCTGCACCGCTTCGTCCAGCTTGGTCACCTCCGCGAACACCTCCTGCTCCAGCAGGGAGTCTGTGAGGGACACCACCAAGATGGACGCGAAGTTGGCTTCGGAGCTGGTCCTGGAGGCGGAGAAGCGGAAGGTGTCGTTGGTGCTGAAGTGGCCCTGCACGAAGCGCCGCTCGGCCTTGGCGGGGCTGCCGATCGGCGTGTACTGCTCCTCCAGGTTCTCCTTCCCCTTCGGCAGGAAGATGAGGCCGGTGCCCAGCGCGGCCGTCAGCAGCACCGGCCCGAGCAGGAACAGCCAGGGGTGCATGCCCACCGCGCCGCCGAGGCGCAGGAAGCAGCGCGACAGCGGCGCCTCCAGGCAGTCGGTGTGGCAGCGGCGCGGCGGAGGCGCCTCCCGGCCCAGCGGCGGCAGGCGCTCCGACGGCCCCGCGAGCCACCGATGGCCGGGCTCCGCGGCCAGCGCCGCCTCCGCCCTGCCTTCCGACGGCGGCTCCCGCGCTTCCTCTCCGGGCGCCACCTTGGAGGAGATCATGTCACCCACAGCTGCTTTCACCCCAACGGTCCGGAATCCGGGGGCCGTTGGCTGCTCAGGTGCCCGGATGCTGGAGGCACGTGAGAGCACGCGTCCGGTGGGGAGCACGTGTCCCGGGCCGCCTTCCTGGTCCCCGGTCTGTTCCAAGGCTGGGCTTAGTACCATTCTCCCTGTCACAGAGTCCCGCGCAGCACCCCTCCGTCCCTGTACTTACCTACGCCAAGAAGGAGCACGTGCTTCACCCTTCCAGCTTGGCGTCCCAATGGCCGGACAGTTCCACGCTTGCTTACTCTGTTGTCAGCGTTAGTCTGTCTTCCCTACTAGACCTTCAGATCTCTGAGGTGGAGAGTTACTGCCTCTAGTTTGTTAACAAACTTAAATGCCAGCCAAAGGAACCTAAGTGTTTCTTAGCGGAAAGACTGTTTATACTACTTACAAAGTTATCTGTCCATCCAAAGTTCACACCGTTTCCAATCGAAACCTACACTGTCCCAAGACAGAAGTGGGGATCCTGATGAATTAGCACCTAAAGAAAGGAAGTGGAACAGATGTCGTTTCCAGCTTATTTCCTCTACACCCAACAGCACTTATCCGAGGCTGGTTAAGATGCGTCAACAAAGCTTCCCCGAAGTTTGTTGCATCTTTGTGTCCTTTGCAGGGTCTATGAAACAGCAGGAGATAGATGCTTTGGTCCCTTGCTAAGTTACTGTGCCCATCCTGGAACTGTGGTATGAAATTGTGTGAATTTCCAAATGTTTATTCACCCCTAAAAAGGAAGGGCCTAACAGATAAAAAGATTCTGCTAAAATTCTGGGTTTTTTTTAAGTTTTTTGTTTTGTTTTTGTTTGCTTGTTTTTTAACAAATTAATGAATATTAGGATTACTTACAGAAGCAGAGGCAACTCACAGACAGCTACACCACCAAAAAGACCGACCCTCAGGAAACATTTTAACTCTTACAGTCAGTCCTTGCCTACCTAAAGCTAAAAAAATGATAGAATGGGGGTTGGACTATCAGGGAGACTCAGGGCAGGGCCTTGTGACCTCCCCTCAAAGAGATTCTGATCCCAGTTACTACAGAACCAGCTATCTGCTGTATATTTATATTGCTTTTGTTGCCGTAACTGCACGCTGAAGTCTCCTGCAAATAATCACACCTATTCCGCCAAATGGCAGTGGATATGTTAAAAGGAGTTATCTATCAACTTTTGCTTAAACTGGTCAGTTTACAGTTGCTCAAAAATTGCAGTTGAAGCTACATGCAGTGGTCTGTACCAGTAGTCCTAACTATTTAGAAGTCTGGGACATAGATATTGTAAGTTCAAGGCCAGTCTGGACAACATATCAGGACCTTGTCTCAAAACAGAATCTCCAACCTAAGGAATGGGGCTGTAGCTCAGTGTTAAAGTGTTTGCATAGCATGTACAAGATCCAGGACTTAATGCCAAGCACCACAAAAAAATGCAGCTGGAAAATTCCAATAATACATGGATGTACATCAATTTCTATCTACCATCGAACACAGCACAGAATTGTATATTAAAGTTGAAAGCAATAAAATAAAAAGTAATATTAAAAAGAAAGCATGAATTGTCAGCTTTAGACCTTATCAAAAAAAGGCAAAAATAAAAACAGAGAAGATGTAAATCCTACAGCCCCAAATTTAAATAAATGTTATATCTATTTGAAATAAACCTTTCAAGCATAATTGCATACAGTAGTCTGTGTTTTGTAAATGAGTGATGTAGTGAATTAACTCAGTGAATGCATCCATATGTTATTAATATTAGTGAGATCCAAAAAAAAAAAGGCTTGTCAACATTTTAGAAGGTTCTCCTTATAGCCTTTTCTAACTACTTCCTGTCAAACGTAACCACTATTCTGGTTTCTGACTACATAGGTTTGTTTTACTTGATTTGAATCTTTAAGAAATGAGATCAAGTGCTTTTTTGCATCATAGTTCTTTTTTTGTTTTGTTTTCTTTTTCCTCCTTTTTGAAAGTATGGAGGCTTAGGTACAAGACGTCAATTTTGGTTTAAGCTTTACAAAACAAAACAAAATACCCTTCTTTTGCATTCCATAAAAAGTGACAGAAAAGCACCTGGGCAGAAGAATAGCCAACTACAAGCCCCCACCACTCCCCGATGGTCCCCCTGGGACAGAGGGGCTCCCTCCAGAGCTGTCCCCTGTTCCACACCCTGGACCAACAACCCCGAGCAACTTCCCAACACACATGGACTCAGATTCCTAGTTTTCCTTCTATCTTTCTCATGCCAGTTAGTTCATTAATTTTTAAAATTGATTTACACCAATGTAACAAAAAAGATATAAGGAAAGAGTGGCTGAAAGACTGTATATTTACAGATCCCTGCAAATAAATATATATATGTATATATTGTCTATGGAAATTCAGTGGCAAAATGTGGGAGGAAAGATTCCTTGGTGACAAAAAAAGTTGATCACCAGTCTTTATTTCAGGGAAGAGATGGTGATGGGTTAGGATATAGCCTAAATTTAACACTGTTGCTTTCTCTTCAAAGCCTTCGTCACCAAGTCTTTCAATGTCCTTTGTTTTTCCAAAGTAGAATTAATTTAATATACTTGTGATTTTATTTTTTATGTATTCTACCAGGGCCCTAATATTGCCTAACTAAGATTAGTCACTCACAGTTTCTTCTTTTTCCGTCTGTCTGGTAATGCTGCCTCCAAGGTTCATGGTGCCTAAGCCAGATATTTTGGCTGCAGCCACATACATCCATACGGCTACTGGAGTTCTACAGTTCCACCTCATGAATAGAATCCCAACAGCCTTTGATCATAGACCCACTCCAGCATTCTTTATGAGGCTCACTCCAGCAAAGCCATGATTCAGACCCCAAGCAGATGAAACATCACCTTCAAAATATGCATCCAAGTCCCTATCTCTATTGTAGTCCCACAGAAGATAACCTTCGCCCTCCACCTGTCGACAATTTCAGTGGCTAGTCAACGGAAGACAGGACATCTTTACACAGACTGGGGAACAGGTCAATCTGGTTGCTGACGTTTTTCTTGATCTTCTTTGGAGGCAGGTTCCTGTTTAGGTCCAAGACCTAAACAAGACTAGCTGCTGATTCCTCGTGGCAGGAGCCTCATCTAGTATATGCTTCTCTCTCTCTTCACAACAAGGCACACTGTGTTTCCATTTCTCTGCATATCCAGAGTGAACATCTAACGTTCTTCTTTGTATGCCTGAACTCTTTCACTCAACATCCACATTGTTGGATGTTTCACTAGTCTTTTCTGTTGTTACCTGGCATTATATTGTAAAATTAGGCCACAGTGTTTTATAAATTAAGTCAACTGAGATTTGGAAGACAATTTTTAAGCTGTTCCAAATAGTGCCCATTTTTGACCCTGAGTCTGGATGTATGTGAGTAAGCATTGTTGCCAGACACATAATCTCTGAGCACAGAGCGTGCTTTCTTCCCAACCACTGAGCTTGTCAGTCTTTGCACTGTTACTGACTTGGGATGGTGTGTAATAGCACCTCGAGGAGTTTTCATTTCCCTGATGTCTAATGGTGCTAAGCAACTTTTTCTATATTTACTGGCCATTTGGAATCCTTATTTTATTCATAGGAATTTTTTTTTTTTACATATTCTGGATACAAACCTGAAAGGTTACTGATTTAAAAAGCCTCAGGCACTGTGAGACTCCCTGCAGAAGGATTTGACACACTGGAATTGTCAGCAGGCAGTTAGAAGCAGGGTCGGGGTTTAGAAGCAGGGAACCTCCTGAGAAGGTCAACGTGTCATTGGGACTTCCCAGGAGAATTCCTGGCAAGTGTGCCAATGTGATAAGGACCTCTACCAAAATTTACAAGCTAGGAAATCAGAAAATAGATCTGCAGATGAAAATCTCCCCACTCAAACCTCCCTCTTCTGCCCTACAGAACTGCAAGCCGCAAGCATCCTGGCAGTCTCCACTCAGGCAGAGGCTGCTGCCCTCCTTGGTTCTAATTAAAGCGCAATCTGCCTGTTACGGTTGGTCTCCTCGTTCTTCTGTTTCCACATTGCTTCAATCAGTCCTGTTCTAATAGAGCCCCTTGATTATTACTTGCTTTTCAAATATCTTTTCCACAATATGTGGCAACCTATATGGCTTTGGGATTGACCTGACTGAGGCAACAGCTAATGTCTTCATCGCAGACAAATATACAGAAAAGATGGGATCAGTCAGACTATGCATTTTGATGGAGACTACCAGAAGCAGCCTGGAAATTCTATACATTTATCATATACCATAGGACCAAAGAAAAGGCAGTTAGCTAATCTCAGTGCAGTGTCTGTATTAGAATCTCTTTGGCTGTTTTAAAACACCATAACCAAAAGGAAAGGGTTTATTTGGCTTACACACATGTCCTAAATCCCAGTCCACTGAGAGAAGCCAGGGCAGGAACTCACACTGGGTGGGAACACTAAGGCAGGAGCTGAGACAGTGGCTTTGGTGGAGTGCTGCTTACTAGCTTGCTCCTCGTGGCGCTCTCAGCCTACTTCCTTACAGCACCCAGACCACCCATGGGTTGGTTCTCCCACATCAGTCACTAATTAAGAAAATGTCTCACGGACTTGCCTACAGCCTGATACTACAGTGGCAACTTTTCAGTTGAGATTCCCTCCCTAACAAAGACTTAACAGAGCACCAAGCAGAGTCTGTGTTTCTGGAGACCTGGTGCGGTCTATCATTCTCTGGGGGACAGTTAGGGCTAAGTGCCATCTGCAGCAACAGCCACAGCTTATAATTAAAGGTCACACAGCATTTGAGCAGCTTCCTAGAGCATGTGCATTGCCTCTGATCCTACAGGGTCCAACTTGCTGTGCTTGCCTCCCAGCTGAGCCTGATCACAGCCTCTGGTATGACCCAAGGAAAACATTTTACCTTCCATGGACTCTTCCATTTACATTACCAGGGAAACACAGAGGGATAGGCTGGGGCAGTGAGCATGGTGGAGCAGCCTACACAGGTCGGTCAAGATTAGCACTCCTACGCTCATCTACTGCCTGGGGCCAAACTTTTGCCTCTTCTGAAGACCATGTCTTGTCCATGGCAGCCTTGTCTCCTGCCCGGAGACCATGTGGGACCCAAGTGCCATAAGCTTGTGCCAACTGGTTTGAGAGCTCTTT